ACTTTGCCCGCAGTTGGGGTACACAGAACATAGTTTACACTTATGTATCGTAATTCATGAACCTTACAACATGTCAAAAATTGTGTGGGGGAGACCCCTGCAAATGAGTCACAATTAAAACTTGGGTAGATGAAGGTTAGTAAGGGACGATCCCAGCCATAAATAGCTGCGGCCGCCTTCTTAGTTCTTTACATGGTTCTGGGTCGACCATTTGTGTACCAGGTTTTGATTGTGACTCAAATGGCTCTTGGGTCAAAGGAATATGCCCCAGGACCAACCATAGATTTGGACGGCAAAAAGACTTAGTCTTATGCATGCAGGCCACACCTTTGGATCAAAAAGGGCGTGGAGCTGGCACCCTGGAAACCCCTTTGGCCCCCCACGTTTTCTGCAGAATTCCACCGCGTCCACGAGTTGCTGGCGTAACCCATATCAAGAAAATGATTCATGCTGCTCGCCCTCGCTCCGAACCCAGGAGCAAGCACAAGGCAACACGAACTGCTTTTTATGGCTGATTTTTGTTGGTGCGACAAGTACACTCAATCCAGGGCATTGTCGCCAAGAGATTCAGCAATCGAAGCCACTAGCTACACCGACCTGTCCCGAAAAAAGTCTTCCGAGCAGCAGTGCGCCAGTTGAACGAAAGAGCCACGGTCAAGATAAGGCGGGATCCCCACAGAGATATAAGACAATTTATCAATGAATTAATGGTAAGTATAGATGGGGCGGATTTCATTTTTCAGGTAGGAAGGATGATATTTGATGCCCCGATTCGTAAGCGAGCGAGTCAACCAAACCACTTGGAACCTGTCCATCTTTGATTGGCCCAAAATCATGTTCTCAAATTATGTTGCAAAATAACTCTACCAAATTAACATAAGTTCGGAGGACACCCCCATTTTGTTCTTGACCGAAGCTCGCTTGCTTCCAAAACTTTGGCACCCTACCGCTGGCTACAGCATAGTCCAGCGGAAGGCTTGGCCAATCGTTGTATCGGAATTCCGCTGCACGGTCTGGGACCGTTTAGCGAGCAATGCAGCGAATATGGGGTGCCTGGCTGTAAGAAGCTTAAACTTCTTGGCCCACTGAGCGGCTCAGAATTCCCTGATTAAACCGTATGCGTTGTGGCGAAATGGACGAAACACATATCTTGCCCAACGCCAGAAGAAGAAACAAAACACAACTGCACATGTTGGGGACAGTTGTACAGTACTCAGCCTACTTGACGATACCTGTGTGGGGCCATTGTTCATCAAGCTGAAACCCTAAACCCTGATCACTACACGCGCAAAAGGAAATTCAACTCGGGATCTTGACAACTAGGTCCTCCAGTAGAGAGGTTAGAATAAGGGTACCCTTTCTTCTGTAATCTATTTTAGTAGGGGAACCCTCCCCAAACAAAGGGCAAAAGGGCACTACTGGGGGACGTAGACAAACTTGAAGATCGCCTGCATTGAGCCGCCTTCTCCGAAGTTCGAAGTTCGAAGCAAATGCGGACGGCGGGCTCATGCCGCGGGGGATCGAGTTCGAGTTGGATTCGGAAGGCGAAATTGGACACGAGCCCGTGCCGTCAAGGTATCACTGGGACACACTAGGCACCATCTCTGTCCACGCAACGGAAAACAAACACCTTCTGTTCTCAATAACAAGAAAAGCGCCTGCCATAAGCTGTTGTTTTTTTTTCACCTGTGAAACCTGTTGACACCAAAAACCCTCGCCGAGGTACTGTCGCAGAGAAGTGCTTGGCCAAACATGAGAGCGACACTTTGTTGAGCTAATTGCTCCCGTTCTCGCCAACGCGAAAAAGGCTCGCCCGGAGGGAAGGATTCGAGGGCGTTTTTATAGAGGCCTCCTCGGCAAATAGACCGAGGATTGGGCCTTGCACATTCCCAGGACTAAGGGAAGCGCCAAATTTGAGAGTTTGCAGATTTGCCATAAGCCCCAGGCGAGTGATAATCGGCGCCTGGCTTTCCAATATTTTTTTGCGGTGAGAAAAGTGGGATTCAAACTCGAACGGTCGCGCCCTCTTGACAACACTTCCTCAACGGGCTTGTCATTGAACTCTTTGGCTCTCTTTCTAACGCCATGTGAATGGGCCACACAAACTCAGTTGTTCAGTGACCCTGGAAAAAAAAGGGAACCCTTTTTTGGCAAGACAATTTTAGTGCGGAAGTTACCAAAAAAAAGGGAAACAGGGAGCCACTGACCAACTGAGTTTCTAACGCCATGTGAATGGGACACACAAATGTAGAGGAAGTTGTGCATCGAACAGGGTCCTTCAGGGCTTCCAACATCCTCATTCTGTGCTTCTCAGGCAAGCAAAAACCTGTCGCGTTGCCATGGATGGCACGTGCCAGTAGAATCTCCAAGTTGGATATGTCTCAATCAGGGATGAATTGAGGGGGCCGACGCTAGCGCAACTGGGGACCCTAATGGGCAACCTTTCGCCCATGCGTCAACCGACGCTGAGAGCCCTGAAAACATTTGACTGCGCGAACTTCTCTTCACATCGCTACAAAGTCGAAAGTGGAAGTCAAACAATGAAACCTCCCCCCCCCTCCGGCACTTTGTTGCAGTTCCCTGCAAAACAAAAAATCACGTCGAACCCGATCGCGGGCGGTAGACGGTCGCCTGGGCTGAGGCTCAGATGTGCAAGGCAAAGGCCAAAAAGCCGGCTGGGGTGAAATGTGGGTGTGAATTTCGATTAGCGACCAGCTTGGTTGACGTTGGAAGGGGAGCAAAAAAAAAAATCAGCAGCTAAGTGGGGATTTCCCACTAAACCACAATAATCAAATGTAAAAAATGTTTCCCAACGACAACCATGAGTGGGTGAAAATCAATTTACGTGGGGATGAATATGCACATGAGATTCCTGGGCCTTTGGGCTCCATGTGCCAAAGGGGCTGACCTCTAAAAGTCCTTTCGCGTGGAACCTGCCACTAAACAGACGAAACACATCTAAACTTCACCCCAAAGGCACCGAACCACCAGGATGGAGCTGCTCAAAATCGTGGCCCTGTTGCCGTCCTCTGTTTGTATGGTTTTAATGGGACACCCCTTTGGGAAACCAAAGGAAGCCAATAAGCCTCGGCAAAAAAAATACATCGGGTCATTCCCGTGACTACTTCGCGAAAGAAATTGCAACTTGGTGTCGCAGAGAGTCGAAAAATCAGATGTTCATCTACTCTCCATGGGCCAATAGGTAAACATCCTGGGTGGCCCTTTAGCACCTGCAGCCTCTGACATTGCAAATGAGGCTTACCTGTTGAACCCCCTTTTCGTGGGAAACATGTATGAAGAGAGTCCGTAAAAAGCAGTTCAATTCTCGCGCTTTGGAGCAAGCAATGGATGGCGTCAGTAAATAATTGGAACCAAAGTGATGCTGGGATCCACCTAGAGTCTCCATGACCCATGAAAAATGAGTGATTTCCCAAAATTTCGGGGTCAACCCAGTTTTATTTCGGGTCAGAAGGAGACTCCAGGGTTCAAAACATCTGTTGCCCTAACACAAAGCACTGTTGTATACTTTTGTCCTGGGAACTTCAAAGGGTTGTTGTGTTCTGTTTCACACACAACCCATCTATGTTTCAGAATCCAGCACCTAATTACGGGGGGGGAAAAATCGACCTCTCGAATGACAGGTCCGCGTTCACCTATTCCCACCAAAAACCCTTCAAAGGGCTTCGAAGTTGAAAAGTTCTCTTTGCAAAGGGGCGGCTCGGTGTACTGTGCCTTGCCTTTTTTTTCGGGCACCCCTTTCCGGTTGGCTTGGTGTTCTGTTCCGTTCTCTTTCTTTCGGGGAACCCCTTTCTGGTTGGGTTCAAAGGGACAGTGACAGGAATTTGGGTGGCGACCTCAAAGGCAGACACACGAGCCACCCAATGTTTGTTGCAAAGAGGTCGATTGACTGCGGCCAGGATGCAAGATTCGCTCTCAAGCTGGCCCTGAAACCTCAGGCTCCGATTTCCGATTCAATCAAATCCATGATTGCACCACTTGTCTGGGTGAATGAACTATAGTATCTCACCAATCTGAAATAAGGTGGTTGGGCGGCTATTCCCCACATAAACCACCATTTGGGGTGAGGTCGTGGGAGGTCGTAATGATTCACCCAGACTTATCATTTTATCCCTAAACCATATTTTAGAACCGCTTAAAGCATTCTGTTGGTCATCTCCAAGGCTGCAAGAGAAACTCCATTGGCTTTCCATCTCAATGGACAATGCAGGTCCTGCCATGCACGTCACGGCTTTTCAATAATTACTTGAACTTGAACATGCAATGGGCTGACCTGTGCCTATTGACCATGCGAAGCCTCCCAGAAAGTGTGGAGATCCTCAAGGATCCCTTCATTAAAACAAGACAGGTCAAACAATGAGGCCTGCACAAAGCCATGGAACCAACCATAAGTTGCAAATCAAGGTGCCAAGCACTAGCCATGCAACAAAGTCCAACGTATTAGCTCAAGCCATCGAGCATGACGGCCCCAAAATTGCCGTCCCAAACAGACCTCCGGGAGAAGAAACAGCATATTAGCCTCTGGGACCGAGTGCACGTCCGCAACCGATGTTCAAGGACTAGATGTTTCCCCCTTAAATCGGCATGGAGAAATTAAACAGGAAGTTGACCAAGACTTGGTGGCTATTGCCTCAAGTTAAAGGGTAGATCCAACCCCTCCTGTAAACACCTCGCCCCAAGCCATTGCCTTGGTTTCGGGTTGGGCATGCAGGTCCTTGACCAGAAATACCAGCAAAAAAATCACACACCCATCTGCTGGTTCGTCCCCAGGAAAAATGGGGACATACGTCCAGTAGTAAAAGTATTCCCTTCAAAACCAACACGGGGAAAGAATGCGTTTTTTCTTGAACAAGACCTCATTTCGGCATTTTCTGTGGTCTTTAGGGGAACCGAATCTCCCAACCAAAAAAAATTGAAACGGTACAAGTTTTTTCAGCTGGGAGACCGAGACCCCACTTCTGGCCGGGGCGCGGGGAAATTCTTCAGAGCTGCAGCTCTTGCCCGGAGCCTTCATCGAGCCTGCGAGTCGTGTCAGAGGCCTTGGGACTACGGGAGGTTCAGTGGGTGGCGAAATCGAGTTCGCACCGCTTTGAAACTTTGGTTGAAACCATGGGTTTGTGGGTATTCCGCGAAATGAAACCATGGTGGAAAAATAATGGGTTTTTGCGGAGTTCGTCCATCCACAGTATTTTCGAAACGGATTTCGGACCCCATTTGGCTTCTTAAAGGTAAGCCAAAAAGAAACTAACCATTTTCGGGGGGGCCTATTTTTGGGACTCAAATAGGGGACATGTGACAGGATGATAACAACAGTTTCAGTAGGTAGATTCTACCTTTCAGATGTCACATGTGTCTTTCCACACAAACGCCCCCGCCCCTTTTGGAAGCTTCAAAGGGAACTGAAACAAAGGCCAAGTCTTTCTCATTATTGGAAACAAGCACAGATGGTCAGTGCCCTGCCTGACTGGTTGGGACAGGGTCGGAGGGCGTGAGTTTCAGCAAAGCACACGCCTAAAAAGCAAGCGAAGCAAAGCAAAACGACGCAAAGCAAGGCAATCAAGTCAAGCAAGTCAAGCAAGCAAGCAAGCAAGCAAGCAAGCAAGCAAGCAAGCAAGCAAGCAAGCAAGCAAGCAAGCAAGCAAGCAAGCAAGCAAGCAAGCAAGCAGGCAGGCAGGCAGGCAGGCAGGCAGGCAGGCAGGCAGGCAAACAACACAACAACAAAACACAAACAAACAACCAAACAACTAAACAATCCATCAAACAATCAAACACACAAACACAAACACAAACAAACACACGCACACACACACACATAAACACAAACACACACACACACACAAGCAAGCAGCAGCAAGCAGCAGCAAGCAAGCAAGCAAAGCAAAGCAAAGCAAAGCAAAGCAAAGCAAAGCACAGCAAAGCAAGCAAGGAACTAATCAAGCAGGCAAGCAAACAAACACACATATATATGAGGAGCGGACGAAACACTTTACTTGGCCCTAGTACTTTTTTGAACGTTATCGTTTTTGGGGGAGACCTTATCGTTTTACAGTGTTTTCGAACTTTGGCAGATCCGGCTCGAAAATCGCAACTTTGTAGTACAAGTCTAGTACGCGAGGCACACTTCCGCATCTCCAGCTCGAAAATCGCAACTTTGTAGTACAAGTCTAGTACGAGAAGTACACTTCCGCATCCCCAGCTCGAAAGTCGCAACTTTGTAGTACAAGTCTAGTACGAGAAGTACACTTCCGCATCTCCAGCTCGAAAATCGCAACTTTGCAGTGCGAAGTACACTTCCGCAGCTCCAGCGCGAAAATCGCAACTTTGTGGTACAAGTCTAGTACGCGAAGTACACTTCCGCAGCTCCAGCTCGAAAATCGCAACTTTGTAGTACAAGTCTAGTACGCGAAGTACACTTCCGCATCTCCAGCTCGAAAATCGCAACTTTGTAGTACAAGTCTAGTACGCGAAGTACACTTCCGCATCTCCAGCTCGAAAATCGCAACTTTGTAGTGCAAGTCTAGTACGCGAAGTACACTTCCGCATCTCCAGCTCGAAAATCGCAACTTTGTAGTATCAGTCTAGTAGCGAAGTACACTTCCGCATCTCCAGCTCGAAAATCGCAACTTTGTAGACAAGTCTAGTACGCGAAGTGCACTTCCACATCTCCAGCTCGAAAATCTAGTACAAGTCTAGTGCGCGAAGTACACTTCCGCAGCTCCAGCTCGAAAATCGCAACTTTGTAGTACAAGTCTAGTACGAGAAGTACACTTCCGCATCTCCAGCTCGAAAATCGCAACTTTGTAGTACAAGTCTAGTACGCGAAGTACACGTCCGCTCGAAAATCGCAACTTTGTAGTACAAGTCTAGTACGCGAAGTACACTTCCGCAGCTCCAGCTCGAAAATCGCAACTTTGTAGTACAAGTCTAGTACGCGAAGCGCACTTCCACATCTCCAGCTCGAAAATCGCAACTTTGTAGTACAAGTCTAGTACGCGAAGTGCACTTCCACATCTCCAGCTCGAAAATCGCAACTTTGTAGCACAGTCTAGTGCGCGAAGTACACTTCCGCATCTCCAGCTCGAAAATCGCAACTTTGTAGTACAAGTCTAGTACGCGAAGTACACTTCCGCATCTCCAGCTCGAAGGTTGCAACTTTGTAGTACAAGTCTAGTACGAGAAGTACACTTCCGCAGCTCCAGCTCGAAAATCGCAACTTTGTAGTACCAGTCTAGTAAGCGAAGTACACTTCCGCAGCTCCAGCTCGAAAATCGCAACTTTGTAGTACAAGTCTAGTACGCGAAGTACACATCCGCATCTCCAGCTCGAAAATCGAAAATTTGTAGTACAAGTCTAGTACGCGAGGCACACTTCCGCATCTCCAGCTCGAAAATCGCAACTTTGTAGTACAAGTCTAGTACGCGAAGTACACTTCCGCATCTCCAGCTCGAAAGTCGCAACTTTGTAGTACAAGTCTAGTACGAGAAGTACACTTCCGCATCTCCAGCTCCAAAATCGCAACTTTGTAGTGCAAATCTAGTACGCGAAGTACACTTCCGCAGCTCCAGCTCGAAAATCGCAACTTTGTGGTACAAGTCTAGTACGCGAAGTACACTTCCGCAGCTCCAGCTCGAAAATCGCAACTTTGTAGTACCAGTCTAGTACGCGAAGTACACTTCCGCATCTCCAGCTCGAAAATCGCAACTTTGTAGTACAAGTCTAGTACGAGAAGTACACTTCCGCATCTCAAGCTCAAAAATCGCAACTTTGTAGTGCAAGTCTAGTACGCGAAGTACACTTCCGCATCTCCAGCTCGAAAATCGCAACTTTGTAGTATCAGTCTAGTAAGCGAAGTACACTTCCGCATCTCCAGCTCGAAAATCGCAACTTTGTAGTACAAGTCTAGTACGCGAAGTGCACTTCCACATCTCCAGCTCGAAAATCGAAAATTGGTAGTACAAGTCTAGTGCGCGAAGTACACTTCCGCATCGCAGCTCGAAAATCGCAACTTTGTAGTACAAGTCTAGTACGAGAAGTACACTTCCGCATCTCCAGCTCGAAAATCGCAACTTTGTAGTACAAGTCTAGTACGAGAAGTACACTTCCGCATCTCGAGCTCGAAAGTCGCAACTTTGTAGTACAAGTCTAGTACGCGAAGTGCACTTCCACATCTCCAGCTCGATAATCGCAACTTTGTAGCACACGTCTAGTGCGCGAAGTACACTTCCGCATCTCCAGCTCGAAAATCGCAACTTTGTAGTACAAGTCTAGTACGCGAAGTACACTTCCGCATCTCCAGCTCGAAAGTCGCAACTTTGTAGCACAAGTCCAATACAAGAAGTACACTTCCGCAGCTCCAGCTCGAAAATCGCAACTTTGTAGTACCAGTCTAGTAAGCGAAGTACACTTCCGCAGCTCCAGCTCGAAAATCGAAACTTTGTAGTACCGTTACAAGTCTAGTATGCGAAGTACACTTCCGCAGCTCCAGCTCGAAAATCGCAACTTTGTAGCACCAGTCTAGTAAGCGAAGTACACCGCATCTCCAGCTCAAAAATCGCAACTTTGTAGTACAAGTCTAGTACGCGAAGTACACATCCGCATCTCCAGCTCGAAAAACGCAACTTTGCAGTGCAAGTCTAGTACGCGAAGTACACATCCGCATCTCCAGCTCGAAAATCGCAACTTTGTAGTACCAGTCTAGTAAGCGAAGTACACTTCCGCATCTCCAGCTCGAAAATCGCAACTTTGTAGCACAAGTCTAGTACGAGAAGTACACTTCCGCATCTCCAGCTCGAAAATCGCAACTTTGTAGTACGCGAAGTACACTTCCGCAGCTCCAGCTCGAAAATCGCAACTTCTCAGTACAAGTGTCGTATTTACGAAGCACACCTTGGCAGCTCCAGCTCGAAAGTGGCGACTCGCCTTCTCGTTTTACGGTGGCCACGCAAGGGTCCCACCCTAGCTAAGTTGCAACTGCAGGGGTTATTATAGATCCGTGTGTTAGCTAAGGCTTATCGTTTTTGGGGGAGACCTTATCGTTTTCCATGGTTTTGGCATGTGTTATGCAAAAACGTTCCCCGCCTTGATAAAGTGGTCTTCGTGTGTTTTGTCCGTGGCTCATATATATAACAAACCACACAAACAACAAGGTAGACAAACACAAAAGGCAGACAGACAGACACACAAATAGACAGACAGACGAACGGACGAACGGGCGGGCGGGCGAACGGACAAACGGACAGGCGAACAAACAGACAGACCCGCCAGACACGGACACGCAGACACGCAAGCAGACAGACAGACAGACAGATAGACAGACAGACAAACAGACAGATTGACAAACTAACAAACTGACAGACTGACAGACTGATAGACTGACAGACTGCCAGACTGACAGACTGACAGACTGACAGACTGACAGACTGACTGACTGACTGACTTACTGACTGACTGACTAACAAACAAACAAAGAGAAAAGACAAAGAAGCAGGCAGGGCAGGGCAAGGCAGGGCAGGGAAGCACCCAGAATGCAACGTTTGGGGATCCTTTACTGTACAGAAATGTAAGCCGGATGTGAAGAACCCCGTCGCCACTTTTGTTGTTTGCCACAATGAGTCCCTCGAAAACAAGGGCATACCTGTTCTTCTGAGTAAAGAAGAAGCTGCCAACATGCCAGCGCAACTCGGAAGCCGCCAACTCATCACATCTGGGTGTGTGTGTGTGTGTCTTTGTTGAGGTTCCGTAGCTTTGCTGGGCTTGGCCTAAATGAAACTAAAACGAAAGCTACTTTTTTTGGGGGTCTCTCCAAATTTGACACTGTGGATGCCCTGCACTAATTATTGCAAGTAAGGAAACAAGGACACCCCTCAGCCCAAAGGTCCCAAAAATACAAGCGGGGCCATGACTAAGCATGGAAAAAGGAGGGGGGGGGGGGAATCGCTTTGGTTTGGGAAAGGGACTACCATAATTTACCATGGCATCCGTAGCATCTGGGTAAATCACAAAGAACCCACATAAGTGACCCAGAAAGAGGGTGAAGAGGCCCCGAGGTTTTATTGGTCCCGGTATTTCGTCCTGCTGACTTCAAGTTGACCCAATGATACTTCAACCCACCTCAAGGGAATCAAACTACCCCCAACAAGGGATATTGGCGGGCGAATAGCAAAAATGTTCAGGTGTACAAAGCCCTGAAATATTGCTGGTGACAGTGAGTTGACCTTGACAATTTTGGACCTCATAACTCAGCGGGGCTGTTGCCATGCGCCACTTGCCAGCTAAAAACGTGCTGAAACCGAGATGTGACTTGACTTTCCAAAGAGGAGGAGCCCCCAAAAGAAGAAATATAGACCGTGGGCCTGCAAACGATTTGCTCTGAACTCCCCAACCAGCAGAGCATCAAGATGGGCCCAATCTCTATTCAAGCCTTGGACCAAAATCTGAAACAAGGGACCCGGAGGAGAAAACCCAAAAGGCAAACCATGGCCGGTGAACCTTTTTCTTTTCAGCTTGCCACACAAAATTTGCGCCTCCAGTAAAGACTGCTGGGATTGCTTGCCACGAGCTTGTAACCTCGGCAGCCGAGGATTTCGGAGTCATCTTGCAACCATGGTGTTGATGTCTGCTGTCAACGGTTGCAAGCTGGTTCAAACCAAAGTCAATCTACATGCACATATATGCGCATTTGTCAAAATGCGGGGAAGCCCAAAATCAGTTTTTTTTTCTTGGTTTCCCTTTAAACCACCCCAAAGGCGGTGCTAACTCAAAAAGTGCGTACACCTTCATGCGGGTAGGATCCCAATTACTTCTCTGCCAGCCATCCCCGGTTCCCAAAACTACTTCCTTGCGGGAAACTAGATTGCACAATGCCCTGGGAAGTGAAATGACGAAACCACAACTGCGGAAGTTGGATTGATTCTTCACCCCTTTGGGCCAGACTTTTTTCTTGCGAATGATCTGTGTTTCTTGCGGAGAAGGGGGACATCACGGAAAGCCCAAGCCCAAAGTCGAGAAGGTGAGCTGACGGCAGCCCAACCGCGAGGTCGTGAGGTGTTCCCCTACCCCACGACCCACAATTCTAGGGGTGGCAGTACATACCCCTTGTTCATACTCCTTGGCTTCCCTGGTTTCCAACCCATTGTATAAGGGCTATACCCCTTTTGGGGAGAGGGGTATGAACATCAGCAGGCCTTTTGGGTACATTTGTCCAAGGGGTATGTAAAAGGGGTATGTAAAAGCTCCCCTGGGAAAAAAAAAACAAAAACGGGGAAACCGTACCGCTGTTTTGGCTACGCAGAATGTGGCGCCACGGGTTCTACTGGATGGACAAAATGAATTTCGGAGTGATGGACGAAACCCTACAAATCCTGAGGTAAACAACCTACAATCAAATGGCGCAGGATCTGTCCATCCAAAATAGCTCAGGTGTGACAACTTGTGACGACAGTCATGGAAAGCCAAGCGGCAGAGCATCAAAGAGCCAAGTTGTTGGGAAATAGTCTCAGGAGATGGGTTCTCCTGTCAAGTCGGAAAGCCAAGTGCTCCTGAAGCCTTTATGGACCCTTTGCTGGAATTGAGGGTTCAGCCCCTCGAGTCGCTTTCCAGGTTCCCTCTAAAAAAAGGCGCACAGGCACCGTTAGACGGTGCCACAGGGCAAACCCAGTTTTCCGCAGGGGTCGCCAATGTCGAGGTGGGATCGGCCGTCACATGCAAACGTTTGGGAAAACAGGGGGTGTGGAAACAAACACATGATCCCAGAAACACACATGGCTGTGGGTCAAAACCAATGGTACCCTTTTGGGGTAGGCACCACCCATTTTAGTCTATTTTGGTGGGGATTGGGATGTTCACTGGGGGTACGGGATTTTGACCCATGGCCACATTGGTGTGGGTTGTTTTGTTCATGTTAGAGCTCGCTACACCTAAAGTTGGTCTAGAGGGAACCGAAAAAGAAACCGGAAATCCATTTTCGGGGTCCCCCCATTTTGACGAGCCATACTCCCATCTCGTTCCCAACGAATTTCATGATCCCCTATTCATCCCCTGCACCACAGGGGACATCGCAGGTCTCGTTCCGTCTAAGGCGTCCCAAGCAAATGCAATGATGGCATTCCAGGAAACAAGTCAATAGAGTCGAATTGGAGGTCGAATTGTTTCCGCACCATTCCAAGCCCAAACGGCCGGAAACGGCTTCTTAATTGGAAAGGAGACTTCTGAAATCAGTTGCAAACCACCTGCAAGCTTCGCAAGGTGCCCAACCTACAGGTCGAAAGTATCGTCTTCCAAGACAGATCCTTGACTCAGTTGTTCAGTGACCCTGGAAAAAAAGGGAACCCTTTTTTGGCGAGACGTTTTTAGTGGGGAAGCCGCCAAAAAAAGGAAAAAGGGAGCCACTGAACAACTGAGTTGAGTTTCAACCAGAAAGATGTGGGTCCCTTTGGAAGACACTCTCCTTTGGGTCGCTTCAATACGTGATATAAGGAAAACCACTTGTGAGGTTGCTCGCTTTGTTCAATCTGATCCGAATCTGCAATCCGCAAAGGATACCACTTCAACAAGGGAACCACTACCACCTGGTAGTCGCTTCGTTTTAGGGGAATCAGGATGTCTTTTATGGTCCTTCAGGACGGACAACCCAGCAAAACATGCTACTCCCCTGTAATTGCTCACGGAACCTGGATTCGGCTTTGGGGTTCCACGATCATGGGAATTCTAAATGATCAATGGGTCGCTCCCTCCGCCACCCTGAGCAAAGAGTCTCAAGGGAAAGCCACGTGTTTCCACAAGTCTAGGGGTTGATTCCTTTTCCACTCTTTTTTTCAAGCCTCGTTCTTTCCAAAAACCGGATCCGTTTTCTCCGGTTTCCGGAGGTGTTCTAGAAAGATTCGGATCCCTGGAAAGAATGGAAATGGAAAGTACCCCTAGAACAAGGTCTTTCCTGGGTGATGTGGTCACACCAAAAACAGCCATGACAAGAGGCCTTTCTGTTCGGTGGCTGTGCACCGAGGCCCCTCCTACACTTCGATTCGGAAGACGGGGATGAAACCAACGTGGTGAGGTTGCTCGCGGTAAATCTTGCAAGTAAACAGACTCAACCACAAACAAACGATAGTTGCACTAAATTACGGGTGTCCCTTGCTCTCTTTCTTGCCATAGTTGCCTATTTGTACTAATTCAAAGCCATCTCACGAGGAGCCGTTGCAGCCTAATGGTGACTAGGAGTGACTGCTACCATGAAGAATTTCAACTATCATAATTCAAGTACTGATTCAGAGCCATAGCGCAGGGAGCCATTGAAGCCGAATGGCAACTGTGAGTCACGATTGGGGGCCATTGAGGACTAAGGGTTCTAAACCTTCCAGGGCTCCGATCTCTGCTGCTCTGAATCCGATTGGGCATCCTCCGCAACCAAATCTAAGAACAATGTACCACGATTCCAAACCCAGAACAAATCTGCACCAGGCAGAGTTCATCATGAGTGAGCTCACTTGCCCCTCTTAAGCTCGGGGTCTTTTTGAATGCTCGGTCCCATCTCCACCAGCTGTTGAACCAATCCATTCTTGTTTGCTGGCGACACTTCTCTGCCAAAAAGTTGTTCACTTTTTGCGGGTCCAATTGACCATCCACTATTTCCCACAAGCTTAGAGTCCAAAGATACAATCAATCAAGTGGCCATACAGAATCCCTAGGGTTCAACCCCCATGAAAAGAATGGCCAGGACCCAACTTGAATGACGACAATCCTTAGGTAAACAATCGTGGTTCTATGAACCCAACCTTTGTTTTAATGGTGGCAGCTGAATTCAGGTCTTGGTCTTGTACCACCCAAAGGACACTACCGAATTTGATTCGCGCTCACCGCTCCTGCAGCTTCACGAGCTTCACGCAAAGGTCTGGGAACAAATTCCCCAGGAGTTGCCCGGCGCAAATCTCGTAGAGGCTGTCTCCAACGACGATCACATCGCGGAACCTTGCATCCAGGACTCGAGTCATGTGCCTAAACCACACACATGTGTGTCTTGTTGGGAACCCGAACCCCAAATGGGTGTTTTGTTTTTCCTGTCAAAAAAAAAACCCTAGTTGGTGGTTCTCCTTGCGAATTCACCAACAGAGCCTTAAAGAAAAGAAAGAGCCGCCCTCCCCCACCTGTTCATATTTGACATGTCATGGGGGCCAGCGGCCATTTTTTCAGAGGTCCCCCTCGCTCTGGGCAAAAAAACGTGGAGGCCAGGTGAGCCGCAAAAAAAACATAAAAACGGTATTCAACTAGTCTACCCAAATCACAAAACCCGGTAGTCAAATAGTCTACCCAACACCATGCTTCAAGAGTTAAAGCGGATATCCGCCAGTTGTGGTTGCTTTCAATCAGTCTACCCCAAACCATGCTTCAAGGATTAAGAAAGCGGATGTCCGCTTAATAGATTGGTTGGGATCGTCCCTTGCTACCCTCCAATTCCGGGTTTTGAGTGTGACTCGCGTTTGGCCTTCAAGAATCAAACTCACTTTCCTGCAGGGTGATGTTAAAGCCAGCCTTTAAGGGGAAACGTGAGGGGGTGCTGAAGATGTGCTGAAGGGCAAATATGCCGTTAATTGGCAAAACACCCCCAATTTCACAAAGGACTGGCAAATCATATGGTCAAGCGTCAGGTAGCCCGCAGCACTATTCACTAATGGGGCCCAACACTAAGGTACCCACCCTTTCGAAGCCGCACCCACATATGGATGTGTGTGTGTGCGTGTAATTCCATCTATACACAAGGAACATACACATGTGTGTTACATGTTCCGAGCGATTCTTGGTTGACGTTGGAAGGGGAGCAAACAATTCTCCAATTTTAGCAGTTCAGTGGAGTTGGATTTCAAGCCACTAAACCACAATAAGATCAAACATGGGGAAAAATGTTTCCCGTTGCAACAACCATGGATGCCTGAGTATCAACAGATGTAGTTCAAACATTGTAGTTCACGAGCCCCTTGAGTGGTGCCAGTACCAACATGTTCCGCTTGGTATACGAGTGAGCCGTGGCCCCACCCCCCATTTGTTTTCACATACTCATATTCATGTGTAACCAAACAGCGGTTCCGGAAAGGAACTGTTTGGTCAAGCAAACTGATGGCCGGGGGCAGAAGTCGTTATTAGCATACAAAGACCTCATGTTGCAACAAACGTTACATGTGTAACACGTATTCGTTGAGGTCAAGCAACTCAAGGAACAAAGGCTCGCTATTCAACTGGACTTGGGGCTGGCGGAGGTGATTCGTTGGGAGGTCGGAAAAAGAAACAAAGAAACATGTCATGTTCTTAAAAAGAACTTCTGTATGCACATGTCCATGTCCATGCGTGTGTGTGCGTGTAAGAATCAATACTCTTCCCCTAACAGAGCTGTCGCGTCATTTGGCTGCGTCAGAAATGCATCGCGCGCCTTCGCACGCGGGTGGACAAGGGCCAAGTGTCGCTGCGTCTTTAAATGACATGGGAACACCCATTTTGGGGGACTTGCTAAATTCCCTTGAACACCCATGTTGGGAGAGTCGGGCTGAATTGCATGCACCATTCTATGAAGTGATTAAGAATAATCCGAGGAAAAACCAAACAAAACAAAAACGAAACACGCCCCGTGTCGGGACCATGCTACAGGCATGAAACCAACTGTTTACCCCCAAAACAAGCGGTTGGTGTCGATTCCTTTTCATGAGTCCGTTCCTGCTCCGAACCGGCTGGGTAAACCTGGCCATCTGCAAGCACTCAATGGGAAAAGGAAGATCTAACCGGACCATCGCACCAAGACCGCTCCGGTGAATCGAAGCTTCGCTCTGCTTAGATTCCCTCCTAATTGGTGGTTTGGAGCGCGGCTGTTTGGGGTTAAGGCGTGGTTTTCATTTACCCTCCATAAGAGCCAGGGGTTCAAATCCGGAAACCTCCAATCCAAACCACCAATTTGGCGTTGACAGATTTGTGGCTTTCAAAACAAAACGGCGGACGCTCCAAATGGTTTCAATCTGTGGAAAAAACTCTCGCTCGCGAGAATCACGGCCCTACAGTCGCAAGACCCAATTTGAAGTCCTTTGGGGTCTGTTGGCTCTCATACTTTTCAGGTCTTGGGATCCAAGGAAGGATGATTCCACTGAAACTACCTGAACATTGGCTTCAACCTTGGTTTCATGTCGTGGCGCGATCAAGGACATTTCGCCTTTCCATCCACAGTAGGCCCATTGGCTTTTTGAAGGACCAGACAAAAAAAAAACACAAAAAACAGACGCCGCACGTTTTTTTCTGTGGAGCGTGACCGCGCCCCTCGCCCATCGCAGGGATCTCGCGTTTTTTTTGGGGGTAGCCCTTCCGAGCAGCTCGTGGAGGGTGGTGCCCTTCACGAGGTTGTAAAAGGTGCAGGTCTTCCAGAGGCCTTCGATTTCGATCGGAGGCGGGGATTTTCCGCCGATCCGTGGAACGTTCTGTTGACGTGCTGGAAATGGGCGGGTTGACTCATGGGGGAAAACTGACGTGAGAAAAATCAAGAGCGGCCAAATGAAGAGAAGATTCATGTAGGTGCCCAAGGTCATTTTGCGAGAGATGTGTTATTGCTTTGAGGTTCGGAGCGACCCTAGCCCTAAGGCCAACCTTCTGGTGGTTTGACGCACGGAAGTTGGATTTCAGGATGCCTGGCTAACGGTGGGGCTTGGTATGGAGAACCCGGAGTTCCCTGTACACCCCGAAATTGTTTTTAGGGGTGTTTGGAACCAGGGTGCAATAAGGCACACGATGCTATCCCGATTCGTATGTCTGCTTCACACGGTTGAATTGGGGCAAACCCCCAAGTCGTGGATCCAACAAAGGGTGCCCTGTGTAAAATGATGGGTTTCCCAAGTTGCGACCCCTGACTCTTGGCAGACACTTCCTGCTGAAACCTGGTCCAATCGATGGCCTTGGAGTGGGATAATCGTAGTCAACATCCCCGGGTCCAAGTTGCTATGGAGGTATGTCAACCCTTTGAAAACCAAAACACACCCTGGAAAGGTACTTGGACCCTACCCGTAACCACACTTTCCTCAACATCAAAACTGACGACACGTCAAGGGACAAAGGGAACGAAATGGGAACGAACACACACACACACACTGCCGAATTGCTTGTAACAACCGGACCCTTAAAACGAATCGGCAGCTGCTACAGTAACCAGGAGCGTCATAGTCATGAATCCGGTTGCCCATTGACACTGGAACCCGTTTTTGGGCTGACCATTCTAGTCGTGAGGAAACATTGGGAGGTACAATCGTGGTATCGGTGACGCCGATAAATGGCCAACACACCCAAACGAGTCAAGCTAAAAGCCTGGTGCAAACGCCAATATGTGCTTCCAAAGTGGCTTGACCAAGAAGGCCCAACCTTCTTGTTTGCCACTAAATCGGTCTTCCCAAGAAGTGTAAAGTCCAGAAACTCAGCCAGTGAGAATTGTTAGTTCGCAATGCAAATGAAAATCCATACACGGACCTTTCTACATGTGACCAGCAGCATACGTACGTCTTTCCCGAAAGACTGAAGCATGCCACATGTTGGATAATATGGTTGATATTTGAGAACAACCATGGAGCAAGGAGTGAAATCAGAGATGAACCATTACGGATCAAACACTCCTACCTGCCGGCCCATGTTGCCCTTCCGGATTCGCTTCCCTTCACAGCCTCACTCCCCGGGTGCAAACCCCGCTTTTCAGAAACCATGACTCCGGAAACTCTCGAAAACTGAGTGGCAGGGTCGAGTAAAAGGCCGCAACCACCTGGCTTTTTGTGGGTGCGGCCCCTTTTTGAGCGCCAGAGCCTGTTTTGGAGCGCCAAGTTCCCTAAACGAACCCAGAACTTGAAGGTTTTTGGGGATATCTGCCAAGACTCTTGGCTCATCAGGATACCTCAGGACAACTTACGACTCAGGATGCCTCCACTCGCGCAAATCCGAGGCCCTTAGGCGGGGGCCCAGTCGATCAATTGCCGCCCCCCCCAACCCCCAACCCCCTCCACTTGGGCAAAGGATGCTGGGCGTGTGAAAACGGCGGCACAAAGGGTGTGTGGCTTCGATTGGGAACAGCATGTGAGGGTTGTTGGAATGAAAGGATTGTAGAAAAGAGGCGTGCCTCATTGACTCATACTGAGGCGGTTTTGGGAAAGCGTGTCAAGAGTCAAGACGGCCTTTGGGCTGAAAGCATACCGCAGCACAGGGCTTGATTTGAGAAAATGGTTTGCCTGAATGTGCCTTTTTCACCTCTGAGGAATTAGCGTGTTGGGCGAGCTGCAAAAGCGTGCCAACGAGGGCACACGAATTAGTGAACCCCCAGATGCACATGGCAAAATCCAGACTTGGGGGCTCTTGTGATTTGATTTGAAGCTTGCTACCACGGGCAAGTTGTTGGCATGTAAACGTTGCACAAAAAGTTCTCGGAAGAGGCTGCTTTGAGACAAGCTGAGGCACTGTTGTTCGGCGTGCACCAGCGCATCAACAAGGCCAATTTTATAAGTGTCTCCGGCAGGCACGACGAAACACAGGCTTGGGGACGCTGAGGCCTGTCCGGGCTGTTGAAATGGAACCAAGGCGGTGTCGGATTTCTTTTCAACCCAAGCTTAACTCGGTTGCTTTCTGCTCCCCTGCTAAAAGTTTAATTTTTAGTGGCTTAGTGGAAAACCCACTAGTTGGCAAAAAGTTAAAGTCCTAACAGCCAAGCAAAATGAACCAAAGCTAAAGTATTGTTGCTAGCAACATGACATTTGGAAGAGCCATCCAAAGCAAAAACACGGCTTCAGGGACTTCGACCTCTTCAACATCTATCATGCCCCAGCTTGCTGGCCCATGTTTCCAAACAAAATGCCTAACAACTTGCTGGTGGTCAGTAGGGAATGCCCCAGGGTGTTGAGAATGAACCTAGGGATGCCCTTGAAGGAAACCATAGGCGATGGTTTCTAGGAGTCATTTCCTCATTCCCTGCTGAGAACCAAAACTAACTTGCTGAGTGGATGGCCCAAAAAAAGTTCAAACTATATATGCGCCACCAAAATTGTCTTCCCAAAAAGACTTAAAGTTCATGAACTCAGGAAGTGAGAAACGACAAGGCTTTGCTTAAAACCAAGAGAGGCTTGCCACGGCTGTTGGTCAGCGAGTGACATTCAACCCGGGCGAAAAAGTGTGCCGTCTGCCGAGACTGAGTCTTGACCCGGACAACTTGGCCTAGAGTATGCCAAACTGTTTTTGAGTTGTTGGCAGTGATTCTTTCTTTTGAGGTACGAGTACCTTTTTTTTGCTGTTATCAAGGAAGACCAAAAGAAACACCGCAATTTGTTTGGGGGGCCCAAACGAGACACGCTCACTTCCTCATTCTGCTTCAATTCTGATAAAAAAAACTGAAAAAACAAAAACTTGGTTTGGAGGAGACTCCAGCAACGACCGTCGATGCAACCAAGACACAGATATGCATAGGCACTGCGTGCTGAGATAACCTCGGCCCAAATAAATAAAATAGAGAGTGTGCAGCGAACCACATCTTCCCCATGATCTTTCAGTGGGCTGTCCTCAGATCCCCCGCTAAAAGTTTAACTTTTAGTGAGTTAAATGGACATCCCCACTAAACACTAAAAAGCTAAAGGGCTAAGGGGATAGCGGCGAGCCACCAAGTTAAGTGGGAAATTGAATGTGGGAAATAACCCTAAACTTGTAAGTGGGATGGTGACTATCTTCGATCCAAGTTCCTGCACTATGCGTCTACTACATATGGCTGGTTTTCCTTTTGGTTTCACTCTTAAACCTTGAATGCTGTTGACCCCTCTGCAAAAGTTTAACTTTTGGTGGGTTCAATGGAAATTCCACTGTTTCCCAAAAAGTTAAAGTGCAAAGATCCAACCAACTAGCCATAAAGACACCACCCCCAGGAAAATGGTTCCGACTCAAACAGAGACGTCCACGCCCAAAATTGCGGGCCAGCCCCGAGTGTCTCAACTTTAGGATCCGCG